TTTTTTTCCCCCTTTCCTGAGGCAAGATAGCCCGGGCTGGCCTGGAGTCAGCATCTGCCTGTTTGACCTCCCGAATGCTGGGATCCCATACTCAACTTGTTTTTTTTTTTTTTCCTTTTTTTTTTTTTTTTGTATAAACTAAAATGAACACTGATCTGTTTCTTCTAAATTGCCTAGGCATGGTCCCCCGGATTGTTAACAACACCCAACAAAAACCAGGTGCACCTCTCAGAGGGAGAGTGAGGAAGGGGCCCTCCAAATGGCTTCAGGGGTCACCAGACTAGTTTTTTTCTCTCAGCCTCAGTTCCCTACATGAATAATGTAATTCTCAAAATTCCCAGTTATTAACAGAAGCTCTTTTATAGGGCACTGACAGACAACGACAAAACAAATGTTTTACTTATTTTTCACAGAACTGGAAATAGAAACAGCACAGGATAACTACTGCCATCACTGCCAGCTTAGACAGAAGATAATGTGTAATTCTGGTGATTTGAAGAGACCAGGTATCAGTAATAACCTACATAAAATTTACTGTGTCTATGTGCCCAATATTCCCCCCATTTTTATCACATTTTGAGACAGGGTTTTGCTATGTGGCCCAGCCCTACCTTAGCCTTCCACATGCTGGGATTACAGGCAGGAACTACCACACAGTGTCCATTTCCTTCTTTAAAGCAGCTTAATATGATATGTGGACGCTTAAAGGATGAAAAACTCAGAAGGCATGTAGAAGCATTTCTTTTAGCTCATTTTTCCCCCTCTTCTCTCAGTGCATTTAAATGGCCAGTTGGGTGTTTGCAGCCAATACTCTAGGAAAAGACATGATATCCGTCCCGTTTGGCCTGGGATTGATTAAGGGAGGCTACCAATAATCCCTTTACTCACCGTTTCAGGTTTTAAAACTGCAAATTTCCTTATGTGTTTGACTTCTAAACTCAAAATGTAAATAAAATGTTACTTAAAAAAATCCTCCACATTACTGTATGAAAACTATAGTTTTAAAATAGAAAATATTACTATTAATGGAAACCAATCAAAAATGGAAAAGAAGTAACATTCACTACAATAATACAATCTGCAGCAGATAGTCTTAAGAATCCCAGCATTCCCATTGTGAAGTGTGTCCCGGGGTCACAGCACGCTGGGAGCCTCACTGGCACAGCGCTGACCAGCGTCAGCCTGGGGTATACTTACTACGGATTTCTAACTAACTCAGTTTTGCTGAGAGAGCAGGGAAGGTAAGGAGAGAATATGAATGAATCCAGACTATCACCAACTTTGGATTAGCTCCTGATCAGGAGCCTCCTGCGTAAGTCCTCCTGCCTGCTTTGTCTCTGCCAGCGATGGCCTTCCCTCACCTGTGGCACCTTCTCATCTTGCTGCACGGCCCACCAAGGCTCGCTCTCCCTGTTAGAGCAGCCTGTCAACATGCCAGGAGAAGGCCCAGCAGTTTGGGTCTGCATCCAGTGCCTTCCTCCCCAGCTCCTGAGAGAGGAATTTCTTAAGCCCAGCTACCCACTCTCTAGGAATTTAGAACTAGGACAATCATTTTAACAGAGTTCCATCTGGAAAATGTATTATTTCTAAATTTCACAACTTGATGAAACGAGTATAGAACTTTAATATGATCCAGAAATCCCAATCCTAAGTGTGTACACGAAAGAACTAAAATGGTGTTTCAAACAGGCATCTGCATGTCAATGCCCATACTGCTCAAAAAGTCTGTTAATCAGGGCTCAAGTGATGACTAACTGGTTGCTTTTACAGAGAAGCCACACGGCAGCTCAAAGCTGTTTCTAACTCCAGTCCCAGAGGAACCAATGCCCTTTGCCAGCCTCTGTGGGCACCAGACATGCACACACATAATAACAGTCAAAACTTTATATATATATATATATATATATATATAAAACTTAATTATAAAAGCTTGTCCATTAATAGCTAGGCAGGTAAACAGAATGTATATACACAGAAACAAAATGAAAGCGAGCCCTCAGAGGCTTGGGAAGGAAGAAATAGCTGTTTAAACGAGTAGAGAATTTCTACTTGGGCGACTACAACTTCTGTATATGGTGGTGGCAACCACGCAACACCGTGAATGCATTAAACACCACAAACTGTGTATTTTCATATGTTTATTTGTGATCATGTGGATCTTTAATCTGTAGAAAACTGAACACAGCCAGTATGTACAAGTGTATAGAAAAAGTAGATAAGGCAGTATTTCCCAGTTTAAAAAAAAAAAAAAAAAAGATATGGTGGATGCTGAGTGTGGTGGCAAATGCCATGACCCCAGCACTTGCAAGGCTAAGGTAGGCAGGAAGGTTGTGAGTTCCAGGCTAGCTTGAGCTATGTTGTAAGACTCTATCAAGGGGGGCCAGGAAGGCAGAGGAAGAGAAGAAATGGTAGGGAGAGAGACAGGAATCATGATCTAGAAAGCCTGCAAACCATGTTCAAGCCGTAGCCCTGCCTTTACTAATAATGCTACCTTTTTATTTTATTTAGTATTGCGCGTATGTGCATGCACACGTGCACACACAAAAGCATATACCTGCTGTGTCAAGCATGTAGAAGCCAACGGGCAACTTTGCGGAGTCAGTGCATTCTGCTTTTGCAGGGTTCTGGGGTCACATGCAGGTTGTCAGGCTTGTTTTACAAGCACTTTTACCCACTGAACTACCTTGCTGGAGCCAAGGTCATTGCAAATGCATAATTTCCCTATGTGAGCCTGAGTTTCAACATGTGAAGAATAAGCTGTGCTTACTTCAGGAAGTACGCCGACATCTCTAACACGCCAGGAAAGAGATGCTATTAAAATGAATGAAAGCTGGAATGTACTAGAACCCCAAGAGAAAGAGCCAAGGCTGTGCTTTTGCTTTCTAACGCTATCCTGTGTGTCATATACTAACTAGTTTTATCTTAGTATGTCTTTGCAGGCTTCTCATAGTCCGAGGTCAGTTTTGGAGATTACCTAGTTGGGTTAGTTTGTCTGAATCTGCAGCAGAGACCGAGTCAGGATAAAGTTCTGCCTTGTGAATAAGGGATACGATAACCCCTGAAGGGATTCTGAAGTCAACCTGTAGTCTATAACCTTCAAGGAAAACTGATCTGTCCCTGGAGAAGGCTTTTCCAAGCTCCCCGAGTGGTACACGGCTGGGAAGAACTTGAGTTTTTCTTTTAGTTAAAACCCTTAATAAATCAGTTCCATGTATAAAAGAGCAACAACATTATTTCTAGTTTTCATACTACTGGCATAAGGCCCCTTGTATCACTCCATATAGTAACATATGCTTTATTCAGTATAATCAGCAAAGGCAATCTTCTAACATTTGTCAACATGACAGAAACAGAACAGAAAGTCATAATCAGTCACCTTAAAACAGCCAAGAAAATAACTCAAAAAATTTTAAGGCCATTATACTACCAAGTGTTTTTTTTTTTTTTTATAGCTAGCACACCTAATACATTTAGAGTCCTTTAGAAACCAAAGAAAAAACATGAGTGTAAAACACTATATTAAGTTATAGGTGTATGCCTACTCCACACAACTGTCAGTAGAGAAGGCGGGACCCACACAAGACACACTCAGGACGTGTTAGGGAACTGATTAACATGGTCCAGCTACTCTGGTGTGGTGACCAGGGCCACAACGGGACTCTGGCCCAAACTCTGCCCGAGGTTTGCACTTGGTGATCTGTGCGACCCTGAGCACCTGCTCTGTCTGTCTCCTCACCAGCATAAGGGGTGTCAGCAATCGCTTCCCCCAAAGGGTTCTTGTCCTATTTTTTTAATAGAAGAACTTTCTCCTAAGTCTTCCAAAAAGCCCACTACTTGAGGAGAAATAAGCCTGCGCTTACTCCCCTTGAGGAGACGTGAGGACCCCGTGCTCCCTTCCGGTCCTCACAGAATCCGAGAGCCTCAGGGGCAGCTTGGGAGTCTCACAAAATAGCGTGAATCCCATGGGACCACAACAGGTCCAGGATCCCTATCTGATAAATTTCTGATGTCACTAAAACATGCATTTTCTAATATTCCCATATAAAAAGCATATTTCTAGAACAGTTATATCATTTAATATAGTTTAAGAAAGCAGGCAAAAAAAAAAAAAAAAAAAAAAAAGGTTCAGGAAAGCTTCCCAATTCTAAATTATGCTATTCTTTAAAATGGTCAAAAAGTTAAATCAGCAAATTGGAATATATTTTTAACCCTCATTTTTGGCAGCTTTTTTTATAATATAACTGAAGGGTTTGAACTTAATTCTCAATTGTTATTCTGTAGGAGCAGCATTTTAAAGACGCACACGCACACGCACACGCACGCACGGAGCTCTTTTCCAATAGCTATTGTGTTCTTAGATCTGAACAGCCTTCATTGGCAATCAGCATTAAACGTTACTCTACCCTCTGCTCAGGAGCTAACTTGCTGTGCTAACCCATCTTTATAAACCTTGCTATATACTTTAATCCTTTCAAATGCAGCTATGACATAAAGTATTACAGACTTTTAAAAACCTGTTCTCTAGGGAAAAAAAAAAAAACAAACAAACTGTGGAGCATCAGTAACCAGATAGTATTCTCAAATTTCAGTGATCTCGTGCACGGAGCCACCCTATGCACAGCACTCGGCTCGGCTTCACGCAGTACATGGCTCTAGCTGGCCAAATCTTCCTTTCTCCCCAATGAATCAGTAGAACAGTAAAGATCTTACTTTTTTTAAGCAGTGGCATATCAATGAGGCACAGATGTGTATTCCAACTCTGCATGGATGAGCACACTGTTCAATAGTGCTGGCTCACACGGTATCAGGGCGAGTTATCACTTCCCATGAAGGCGCTCTTATCACCAGGGCCCAGAGAGGTGGCTGCAAATCGCAGCCTCTTTATTTTCAAGGCATTTGCTGAACATTCAGGCTTCAAAGATTCACACTTCCAAAACTCTATAAGAGTTTGTGAACGCTCAATTTGCCAAAACTGTTTACAGTGTAATTGGGCACCGTACCTGTGTCCATGAGATAGCGGAGGCGCTTCTCCACCAGCGCGGCACGGGTGTCAATTTGCTTTTGCTCATTCTCTAGTGCTGCCAATTCTCCTACAACATACTGACTGGTGTCTTTGAACCCTTTCTGTTAAGGAGAACAAACAGGAAGGGGGAAAATCACTTGTAAGTTGTATTTTTCCTTTCTACAAACACTTAGTAAAGCACTTACCTAGAGAAGCAAACACACACTCAGCATCAACTCTAGCACCAAAAAGCCACCCCTCCCTGCGATTTAGGAATCTTATGCATCATGTATAACAAATCATTACAAAGATAGACCGAACAATTCAGCTGGTTAGTGCAAATTTATAAATTCATACCTAGATTTCCTTGATATAAAAAGTTAACAATGAGTTAGAAGGCTTTCACCTTTACAATTAGGTCAGTAATTTAGGCAAGAATAAGGACAGAGGGAATTTCCCCTTTAGGGACTAATAAGTCTTTCATTCAAAAGAGCAATAAATGGAAGCAAGGTTTTACTATGAAGTTGATCGTAAAATTATCTAGAGAGAATCAGATTTCTCCTGTAAGAATTATATAATTTAAAATATTTTAAAAATATGGTAAAATGGGGACAAGTATGGTTCCACATGGCTGTAATTTTCAGCACTCAGAAGGTAGAACCATACTTGGTTCACTGTTTAATTTTATCTTTAACCAAAATTGTATTCCTATTAGAAATTTTACTTTCATAGTCATCCATAATTTAAAAATGATCTTAAAAGTCAGTGGACTTGGAGGAGATGAGGGAGGGTAGGCTTGGGAGGAGATGAGGGGGGTGGCTACAGCTGGGATACAAAGAGAATAAAATGTAATCATTATAAGAAATAAATTAAAAAAAGAAAACAAAACAAAACAAAAAAGAAGTTTCATTATGGAGCAGCAGTGTGGCTTTCAGTTTTGATTTTCACAGTGTAGGGATATATTATATGGGAAGGGTTATTACTTATGGTATGCCACAATAAATGAGTAAGAGGCTCTCTTTGGCTCTGCCCTTTGGCATTCTGGGTATTAAATGATAGCTCAGTGGCTCTCCGTCACTGCCAGCATCACCGATCTGTGAAGCTCACTCTGAGACACAAGTGGCACAGTCTTCTACCAAATGCCTTCCCACACCAAGGACACTGATGCTGGGAGAGCACGAGAGACTGTATTGAGGTACTCCTTAAACAAGAGGCACAATCAAGTTTACAGTTACGATAACTTCGCATGGTCAGTATATAGGTTCAATTCTACTTCTAGCTTACATACTCTCTGAACTATTTAAAAACTGCATTCATATGGGAAGTCAATTTAAAACCTTTACTTGTTAAATTGATTAAGGCAGTTGATAAATCTGAAGTTAAAATATTTTAGAAAATCATCAGTCTGACCCTCTTGAAACTACTGATTACAATGTCACTATCTTGTTTAGAAGATTTGTACAGTTCTATACAGTTTTATATGCGTGACACTGGTGAGCATCAGCGTGAGAATGACCTGGTGGGTGTGTTTTTCTTGCCTACCTGCTAGACAGCACAGCATTTTCTAAAGGGACTGTTTCTGTCTCCAGTCCCATTCAAGGGGATAAAACAAAAGTGCACTTTGCAGACAATATAAACGAGAAAGCGGGAATTGTAGCAAACACTAACCTTCACTGCACAGCAAAAATTTCCTAATCAGATCTGTTAGTTCTGCAGTGCTATGGCCCAATCATGAGACTTCTTCAGGGTGAGCATACACTACATGCAAAGATTCTGTATTCCACTGAGCTACACCAAATGCTTGCTTTCTCAAGATACACCAGTGGTATTGTTTTGTGTTTTGACTTTTTTGGGTCTTATAAAGGTGAAAAACATAAAAGGGGCACTTTTAGAGTCCTGAAATGCTACCGATAACTTCAAGTTGCAGTTAAGATGACTTTAAAATTCCAAAAGAGACGATTTTTTTTAACAGTGAAAATATTCAAACTGTAGATAATACAAAAGTAACACTATTAAAAAGAGCTGCACTTCTTTCTAGACAAAAATTCAAGTTAAAACTTGTTCTCCTTGCTTCTGTTCCGCAGCTGTCCATCAAAAGCGGCTTTCTCCCTGCGGTCTATCAAATATTTCCCTCACAAATCAATTTTACACATGATCAGCCCATACCCCTACTGAGCTGAACCTCCCCGTTAATTAAGTGAAGAAATTACCATATATATTATATTAATGCAAACATCATTCAGCTAGTAATTCACGGCTGATCTGGATAATGGAAAGGTTGAACACCCATTAACCCAAGCCAACAAAATGGGTTGGCTGAGAAATTCTAGCAGGTCTCATGTGACTTCTCCCCCTGACTGCGGCCCTGCGGTATCTGCTATTGTAATAATTAAAATCCTCCCGGTAGATCAATACTGGAATCTCTTTATGGGAAGTGCCCTGATGGAAATGTCTCAAGGAAGCCGGGGCTGTGGAACTCTGAAAAATTCATTTTTTTTTATCTGACAATTATCACCACACTGCAGACTAATTCAGCAGCGTACCCCTCTCACACTGCTTTGAATGCACTGGAGATTGACATCTTAAAAAACCTAACATCTCATTTTAACAAATAAAGGCACTATTTCCACATACAGTTTGGAATTATCAGCAATCATGAAACCACACAAAAAATTAATATACATTAAGTACTTCATCTTCTGATGGCTTCCTCTGAGCTTCAGATATCGCTGCCTTCTCCTCATTTCCTCTCTTTGTATCTTCCTGGATTGATCTCTGTCTTTTCATCTCTTAAAAAAAGGGGAGAAGCATGTAAAATTATTATAAAGCTTGATATTTATATATTGAAATGTGGCTTTACATTATCAGCGTCTATATTTAATACACACCTACATCACAAGACAGTTCTAAAAGTGCTCCTACCTGGTCTATTCTCAACATACTGACTGAAAGACTGGAGCTGAGTTTTTCTGACTGTAGAATCCTTGCTGAATACAACAGGATTTCTGAAACGTTCCGTTGCCTTTTGTAATCGGTCACTCCGGAGATCTTCCACGACATCCTAAAAGCAAAAGAATGGATGGCACAATAGTTCTGAATATGGAATTACATGCCAGGGAGGTTTTCTAAGCTATTTAGAAGCACCTTAAAGCACTACAAATAGCTCAGCAGCAGGTTCTATGGCCGGTCAGCAGAAAGTTTGGGACACATGGTTTAAATCCTCCGTGACTGCGATGTCAGCCACTGTGAGTCCTTGTGTCTTTTGCTGGTGATAGCATCACTGGAAGCTGTGTTACCTCCTATGGCCCCACGACTCTGCCCCATCAATTTGTGGTCCTACAGACTTGTATGACAAGAAGAAATAGTTTCCAATTTTATGCCCATTCAGATAAACCACTAATGCGGGGTGAGGGCTAAAAGGTAGGATTATAATACTACCCCCACTGAACTGAATTTCATCAGCTATAACTTTCCAAAGCCCGATCTGTAAGTAAGCCCTTTACAGCCAAGGAAACTACAATTATCTTTTCTGGAGCTCCCTATGTTAATACTGGTAACAAATTCAAATGGTTCTATCAACAAGAAATATCCCCAAAGACGGAACCACTGCAACGTGTGGAAGCTGCAGATACCGAGGGGCTGTGTACCAAACAAATATTTCATTTTATACCTAATCTTTTATTATTTTTATTAAGTGTTTTGAAAGTAAATAGGGAAAGGCTAAGATGCATGACTAATAGCTAAGCCTGCTGAATGCTGAAACTGGTTATCAAAAGCTACCAAGACTTTGCCCTTCCTCTGCATTGAGACAATCAGTAATGAGGGAGCCCTCCAATGGCCTATTCTCTAGCCTCAAGGAGGCCTGGGATACAGAATCCTCAAGGGAAGGTAACAGTTTATCCTTTTCCACAAACACAGAATGCCTCATTTATAAATGTGTAAACTGCATTTTATTAAAAAAAATAAAAACCCAAATCAATGCTGAAAGCTGCACGGGAGCAGATGGACGCTGTGTGTTCTTTCTAAACCTCAACCAAAGAGTCGTACAAACGCAATCTGTTTAAAGTCTGTGTTTTGTTGGGATAACTTTAGAAATTACTACAAAAGAGCTTTTTGCAAAACAATCAGTTTCATATTTGTAGATATGATAATGAAATTAACTGCTTAATTTTTAAGAAAGTTATCTGATATATTTATATCAGTATAGGATCAACCTTATACTATCCTAACTAGGTAATTAGGATACACATATTTTTGGCTTTAATTTCTTAAAAAGTATGATCTTTTTCACTGTTATTTTAATGATTATCCCATGGTCTGAAACTTGAGTCTTTACTAATATAAACAAACACGGCTAAATATTTTTTAGGGCTGGCCACATGCTAAAATATCAGTGTGATTAGCCAGCAAATCCCATCTTAAGAAACCTTTTTATGACTAGGAACTTCTGTCACTTTACAAATGTATTCCTCTAAACCCACTAATTCAGTTAGCCTTTTCAATCCATTGTATCATTCTTAGGCAAGCTCCATTCTGTATTAAATCCAGTGCAGAAAGCTAAATTGAACGAAAAAAAAAAAAAAAAAAAAAAAAACCCCACCACCAGACCCAACCCAGGCTTCCTTTTATTCAGAGATAGAGACGAAAAGTCTTCTGCCTCTGCCACACACTTTCATCACCAATTACAGGCAAGACGAGCAGAGAGAAATGAGAGCCATTGTTTTGGGGCTTCAAAGCCGCTCTGTCAGGGGGAGGAAATCCTTTCAGTCAGCAGGGCAATCCCCACAGTCCGCAGGTGGGTGAAAAGTTACACAGGCCCGCAGTCCCCAAAGCTGGGGACACGCCGACGACACAATGTGAGGAGAGGAGGTGGGCTGCTTGGCGGGACAACGCAGACGCCTGTGACAACGACGACACGCGCACAACGCCATTTTGTCTAAACTGCGGCAGCAGATAAGAGTAGTAATGGCACTCATTTCCTACAACTGCTTTACATGCTACATTCAATCATGTTACCATGTGCAGGTATGATGAATTCTTGGCAACAGCACTAACTGCTGCTCATTTCATGAGTAAATGTGTCAGACAGAAAGGCATGTGAGAGTTCTTTCTGCAAAACCAGAGCTGAAGAACAGTCTGTACACCCTTTAATTGCTTGAAGCAGAAGATGAAACAGCAGTTCCTCAGAGGAGCTGAGCCAGCTGCTAAGATTTACCTTTTCTCCTTGCTCTGAGGTATCAGGCACAGTACTCTGGGCAGCACTGGAGTGCGAGTTGGCCACCTGTGGCTGGGCTTCTAAGAGCTTCTTCAGCTTCACGTCCATCAACTTATTATTTTGTTCTGCTAAACAAACAAACTCCATGAATGGCAGGTAAGAGGGCTGAGATCACAGGCTACCAATTTTAAGTGGCATCATGAGAATATTATTAAACTTCAAAAGACCTTGGACCTTAGACAACACACTAGACTAGGCACACAGAGCTCTAGACAGTTGACCCTCAGGGTCAATCCCTTAAAAAGCAGGCCGTCATGTATAAAGACAAGAGAGTTATGCTATAGGTAATAGTCATTGTGACTACCCAACAAACAGAAATATGCGATACACACATACATGACAAAACAGCAAACTAGATCCTTAAATGCTTTGTTTGTTTCTTTATTGACTGGATAGCCCCCTGTTCTCCTAGCTAGCTTGGAGCTCACTATGTAGACAAGGCTGGGCTGAACTTACAGTGGTCCTCCTGCCTCTGCCTCCCAAGTGCTGGGATTATAGGTATGTACAACTAACAAACGATGACACTTGCGTTTAAATTATATTATTCTACCATTTTAATGACTTAAACATGTTAAATTTACATATGAACTATCACCTTGAAACACAGCAGCAACGTCACTTCAGTGACACACACTGCCAGAATCTAGTGTTTAAGTGTGTACATACCTATTCAGCATCAAAACAGTACATGCTTGCAAATACTTTTACTTAGACAGCAGAAGTACAATAAAGATTAGCATGACTTTAGGACGAACTAAATATAGATAAAACTGAAAAGCAACCAAACTATGGTTATAACTTTTCAAAGAAACAACTGCAAATTATCTTGCCAAGTACACTTAATCTCCACTATAAAGTCTTTCAGAAATAAGTAGAAATAAATATTTCTACTTTAAAATTCACACAAAGTGATTTTTTAATAAAATGGTTGTAAAAGACATGCCAACTTTTACTGAATGGTATTTTTCACAAAGATTAATAACTTTTCTAATTATAATACTCTTAATAAATGTCATTATCATTACTTCCATGCAAATTTTTCAGTTTATACTGCCGGACTTCTCTTTTTAACAATATCAGATGAACTATGGTCAAACCAAGATAAAGACTGAACAACTTATTATTAAAGATTATGACTTTTATATGCATATTAAAAGAGGAGATTTGGGGAAAATAAAGCAGCATAAAACGCGTGCTTCCAGATTCCAGTACACCCTAGTGTTGTGGGCTGGGAGCCTGTCTGCGCATGTCTGCACCTACTGGCATGCTGAGGAGCTGGACTGCTTTGGGAAACACGGGGTCACATGCAGACCCGGCATCTGGCAGGGGACGCAGGAGGAGTACCAGTTCCAAGTGAGTTCCAGACCAGCCTGGGCCACAGTGAGAGGATATCTCAAATGAAACAAAACAAGAATCCCTGGTACAGCACTTGACGACAATGGGCGATGGAGGCGTGCTTTCTTTTTAGCAGTGGATTTGCCTGCGTGTGCACATGTATGCGAGACACTGACCCTGGGCCTCTCACTCAAGTGAACCTAGTCCTCGCCTTTTGGATTAGCCTGGCAGGCCGGCGAGCTTCAGTGACCTGCCTGTCTCCTCCAGTCAGGGCTGGGGTGACAGAGAGAGGCTTTTTACCTGGATGTTGAAGATCTAAACTTAAGAAACTCATGCTTGCTTGCACTGCAAGCATGTTCCTGAATAAACCATCTCCCCATCTCTGGGAGATTTTTTTTTTTCCAAGAGTCAAGTTTGCCAGGATTAAAATTAACCAGATTTTAAAAATATCCCACAAAGCTGCAACAGTTAATTTCTCCACATTACCTAAGAAATGGCTAATTTCCTCTATCTTTCCAATCTATTTTAGAATAAAGATACATTGCTTATTTTACTGATTTTATAAATCTATAACCAAAAACGTATATCCAAGTCCTCAACAGTAAAAGGGTATTAAGAATTTCCTTCCTTCCTTCCTCCCCTGCTCAGTTTCTAAGGAAGAATTTGGTGGTAATTGTAAAGAGAGGAAAAGTAGACAGCAACAAAAAATATTTTCATAAAGAAAATCTGAAGATAAATTCTACTGTTTTTAAGAAAGAACTAGAAGCTGGAGAGATGGTTCAGTGGTTAAGAGCACTGACTGCTCTTCCAGAAAACCCAGGTTCAATTCCCAGCACCCACATGGAGGCACAAAACTGGCTGTAATTCCAGTTCCAGGGGACTGATGCCTCCTTCTGGTCTCAGAGCACTAGGCACACATTTGATGTACAGACTAACCTTCAAGAAAAGCACCCATACACATAATTTTTTTTTTTAATTTAAAAAAGACTAAAAGGTACTTTCAGTTTTGAGCTAAATATTTAAAATGGTGCCCTTAAAATGGTTCAAGGATTTTCTTGAACGATATTAAGTACTCTGGCTTCTCCATAGAAATAGTCTATCCTAATACTGCGTCTTGAGGGAGGTATTGAAGAAAGGCCGTGAGTTTTAAGTGCTGCTGTGCTAAGAAGACCCTGAACAGTTCTTTCCCGGGGAAGCAACAGCAGGATGGGGGCATATCAGAGCAGGTCAATCACAAGGACATGTGAGAAGTGGAGAAGGGCACCCGGTCACCCCAGTCACGTCGTGCAGGGAGGGATGCTTAGGACTTTCACCCCTTGTCTTCATGTCTGAAGACAAGGCCAGAGTCTTTACTGCTGTAGGAATGAAACTTGAGGGTTCTCACACTTGTACACCGTGGCCACTCTGGCGTCTAAAACTCTGGGTTGCTACTTATGAAGGGGAGCATACAGAACACACACCAAGAAAGCATCTTTGTGTTCTGACGGAGAATAAAGATGAACGGCACTGTGACTCACTGACTCCACAATTGTTCAGCATATGTGAAGCAGTGATGGTATTTTAAGTAAGCAAGAAAATTGCAAAATAATACAATTAAGACTAAGTATTTTGAGAGGAAAATCTCACAGTATAGGGCGTGGGTTGGTCTCATCCTCCTCTTGCCTCCACCTAATGCACCAATATGCCCAGTTCTGCCATGATTGATTCTAAAGAAGTGAGTCTGATCTATGGGCTTAGATTTGATCTGAATTAGTCCGTCACTACTCCACACAGAGTATACAAAAGCACACCAAAATATTGAAGCAGTGAGGAAGCTACTTACTGAGTGCCCATAAACTGAAACTTAGAGTGATTATTAGTAATAAAAGAATCTATGTCATAATTTACTGTATCAATGTTAAGCTATTTGAACATTCAACTGAAAACAAAATAACAAAAATTAATGGAAGGTGAATTTCAGTAAATGATTAGTGAGGACGTAAGATGTAAAAAGACTATAAAAATAAATTATTATTGATGAGATATAAAAATATAACCATAAGGTTTGCCATGCAAGAGGACACAAAACATTTATAATATGAAATTACCAGGAGTATCAAGGTCACTTTCTATATTAGTAAGTTCATCTCCACCTCCTACAACAAAGCCTTCAGGAATCTCCTCGTTAGTATCTATCTCAATATTATCATTTTCATCTGTAAGAACATGTAGCAATAATGTTAGTATATCATTTATATTTTATAGCCTTTGTCTTCAACTCTAAAGAAGAAAAACTAGTATTTCAACGACAGTTACTCAAACTGAAGTCTAACAAAGATAAGCGAGTTAAGAATTCAGTGTTAAACCACCTTTTCACTAGTGGATTAAGTTATATTTTACATTCTACCTCAAAGCTGAATTATCACATCAAAGCAGATGCAGAGGTTTTGACAATCTGCCACATACTCTCTGAATCACTGAACTCATTAGGTCCCTGTGTTTTACTCTATAATCTACTAATAATCTCTAAGACAATAATATATGAAAATAAAGTTGATTTAATAAAAATCCAAACTCAGTTTCATTTATGATTATTTATTAGCTATAAATGCATAAGCACATCCTTGTTTGATTTGGGGCTTCCCATGTAGCCACCAAGAAGCCAATAACAGTTTACATGTGACAGACTCCTGTCTACTGTATAACCAGTTAGAAAAAGAAAACAACAGCAACAAAAGGACCGAGAAGTGCCTCCTCCTGGAGACTGGGAAAGGGCAGACGTGGGAATTGCTGCTGCTCTTGCAGCAGGATCTGAAGCGTTACATATGTGGCTACATTACCTAAGCACAATCAGGTGACAGTGCTTTTCTCATCAACTACACGCACAGCTATCTCGCTCCTCTCCTGAAGGTGAACACCTTAACTTCACGGTCCTCAAAACTCCCCAAATAATTCTGTAGCTTAGCAAATGAATTGGCAAATACTTCCAAGTGCTAAAAAGGTAGTCAAATACTTCCCTGCAGTGATCTGGGCCAGAGACATTAACTTTTAATGGCTTCAGGACAGCTAGTTATTGGCTGCTGTCAATCAGTCACCACTGTTATTGCTAACCACAATTAATCCAGAGCCAAAGGGCAAAATGTTTTCACTCAAAAAAACAAATCACAACAAAAACAAAAACCAACAAAACCCCCACAAAAACCCCCACAACAGTGGTTCTCAACCTGTTAGCTCCATTAGGGTACATATCAGACACCAACATTAGCAAAATTATAGCTATAAAGAGTAACAAAATCATTTTATGGCTGGGGTCGCCACACAGTGAGGAACTGTGTTTGCTGGTGGTATCAGCAGCAAGGCTGAGAACCACTGATCTACCTAAAACACTGGGCTAGTTGCTGAGGAGGCAGTACGTTTTTAGGACATTTATTCTACTGAAAACAAACCCATTGAAGTGATTATAATACCATGAAGGATGTGAGATATGGGGTAAAAATAAAGTACAGGGAAATTTAAAGATAAAAAGATTACTTTTTGCCAGTGACACCAGGATTTCTTTCTTGGAAGTACTAACTTTTAAGTTAGGTCAACTGAGGGGAGGGCATTACAGGCATGAGAGCAGGAAGGGGAGGCTCTGTTCAGAGAACGCTGCCAAGTCCAGTTTGCTCAGGCACACTTAAGGAGAACTAGCAGAAGGCTTGAAGGGCAGAGCAGGCGGCTTAACTATTAGCTGGCGGGAATGAAGATGTGTTGGTGCTCTAACACTGTCACCGTGCTCCCCACGATGACGTGGCTCTCAGCCAAAATATCTGCCTGCAGCCAGCCACGGAGCGTGTGCAATTCGCAAGCAGCAGTGGCAGCACCCTAGGTCCTTACGTGTTGGGCAGTGCCAATATGACTCCCGAGTACTGTGGTCCATCACACTGTCATATCCGTATGTGCGGGGACAGTGAGCACTGCCGGACGGGAGATCAGCGTAGGCTATCCCAGCAGCAGCACCGGTCATGCCAAACTGCTGGCCTCACTGGTGTACTGGAGGACAGAAAAGCCGGAGGTGGGATCTAGGTTGGAAACTATGTCATCTGAAGAAGCTGTACAGAGAGCTTAACTTAACAGAGCCGTAACAGGATTTGAACCCTGGACTATGGGAAGGAGTGGAAGGTGAGGAAAACACTTCTACCAACCTTAAACAATGGTTTTGCTGTGGAAAGTGGTCAACAGCAGAAATGTGGTCAGATATGTGTAAGTTACCAAGTCCTGTGTCATGATAAACAGGTGACATCTGTGCTCTTTCCAGAGGAAAAAAATTGAGCCTCCATTTATATTACCACTCACCAATAACCTAGATGGATTAATTCAGTGTTTATATATCTAGACTTAAATAAAATGATTTACTATTTGGGAAGACAAAAATAACTGCTCTTCCATCAGATTATCTATGAATGAGATTTTACTTTCCAGTCACTAGCCAGTTTTGAAATGAACTTTAAATTATTTTCAGCAGTTGAAAGTTCAACACATTTCCCAACGTGTGGGGATACTTTGGTGAAGTCTACCAGAACTCAAGAACATGTTTGTGCACACAAGCACGTGTGTATGGAAAGACACTACATCTATATCTATGTATCCATACAAGCATCAATCAATATAGTCGTCTTAGTGGCTAGCCACGGAAAATCTAGTAGGTGAGCAAGACGGAACCAAAGGTGGAGGTCCACCACATAAGTGAAAGAGAGTCCAAGGAGTGGCCAGAGCTTTACCTCAGAAGTGTGGGGCATGTTCTGTGTTACATGTGGAGGCAAAATGAGATTTCAGCTGTGCAATGAAATGTGAAGACATGTGCCAGGTGACACCACATGACCCCATGAGGGACACAGAGCCTGACAGTGTGCACCACTATAGCACAGCCACATAGGCAATCTACTCTTTCTTTATAGGTGAGTGGAAATCAGGGTATCTGGTGATAAAAAAAAAAAAAAAAAAAAAAGAGTATCTACAACGCCAAGGAAAGAAACACAGGCTGTCATTAAAAATATATTCAGAAAAATTAAAAATTCAAAAAGAAGTTTCTTACTTATCTTTTTTTTTTTTTTTTTAATTATCAACCAAGGTCTCTATAACATTCAGAACTTTCAAAGTTTTACAGAGACTAAACAATAGAAGATAAGAACTGCAATACAACTTTATAGTCCCAATAGAAGAAGAAAATAACAATCACTGAAAATCCTTATGATTTTATTTTGGCCCAACATATTTAGTGATTCACAGTACCCCAAGTTATCGGTAGAACTGGATTCCTATGAATGTATGTAAACCCTGGATATGTTATGTAAGGGTCAGCAAACTACCAGCCAGGAGCAAAATCCATCCCACCACTTTTGAGGGGGGATAATGCTATGTCCATTCATTCAAATATAATTCACAGCTGCTTTCACACTACAAGCGGGGAGTGGGGCAGCTGAGTGGAGACCAGGTGGCTGCTGACGGTTCAGGGGAAGGGCATAGGGGGAGAAGAGGGAGGGGGCGACAGCTGGGATACAAAGTGAATAAACTGTAATAAATAATAAATAAATTAAAAGAAAAAAGAGAAAACAACAACAACAACAACAACCAAAACCAAGTTTGCTGACTTCTGGCTTAGACAGAGGGCTAGGGTTGCTGGGCAGGTGTGTGTGTGTGTGCGAATGTTTGAGTTTCAGGAAGACTCTTCCCCCTCTACCTTTGCCTAAAGGCTTGTCCGCAGCTCTCAGGCGCGCAGGCCTGCAGGATGCCGAGCTGAGGACAGAGAATACACAGGGCGGCCCTGCTTGCCTCAGGTTGGCCTTAGCTCTTTTTGTTTTTCGTATGCACTTGCATGTTTTTATAGTGATCACAAATGGCCAAGTTATAGGGTGTCCATCCATGAACTGTTAACAAAATGCTGCACAGTCAACAGAAGAGTACTGAACCATAAAAACTGGGAAATCCTATCATGTTTTACCATGTGGATGGAAACGCGATCAGTATGTTAAGTGAAACAAGCCAGGCAGACGCTGGCAAGTACTGTTTCTCACCCATTGACATTTTCATACAGAATGGAGATGAGCGGATGGACAGCACAGGAGAAGACGTAAGAGAAACCTCTACCGTGCCACTGAACAGCGTTACTTTAGCTCTTACTCTTTCATGTGCCCTGTTCACTGTATTCACTTTGACGGGTAAATGTCAACCCAGGTCTTGCTTTACTCAGTGCAGGAAGAGCTGCACCCTGGGCGACGCCACTGAAAACATTTCTTGATATACACTGCCAACTGGGGTTGAATTTCCTTTTTTTAAGCATTATCATCTGAGGAGGGGGTCTACAGCCTTCAAGTTATTTATTCTGTATGTGTGTGTCTCTATGTTAGTAACAACGACTGAACCTGGGGGCTGGTTGGTCCTAGGCAAATACTCCATCACTGAACGATATCTGAAGCCCTCAGCTTGGGTTGTATCGCAAAGATCACCAAGTGCGCAGGCAGCCAAACACGTCCTATGCCATTAACTACAACTCTATTCTTAGCACCCTAACACTGTCATCTCCCAACAGGAAGCAGACAGTTTTAGTTTACGTTGCAGACACTGATGAACCTCAGGCTCTTCCCTTTGCTTCCCCTTGCTTCAGCACTCTACGGTTTGGCCCGAGTCCTCACCAGCCTATGCTTCAGGGTAATAATATTCTAAAGCTAACTGAGGACAAGTACATGGCATGTTTTAGTAGATAAATAGGTTATGTATCTTCGAAGTAAAAAGCTCACAGGCCTCTTGAATATACTCCCAGTAAAAAAAAAAAAAAAAGTGCAGTTTCAAATTAAGGATGACCAAACTGAGTACCGAGAGGCGAAATTAAAATTCTTTTCATTTATATGGTCTTTGTCTCAACATTGAGCTTAGAGTAATCTGAAAATACTGAAGATGACCCTCTCAGAGTCAGGACAATAGAAAAAGTAACACAGTAATGGTTCCCACATGTTGGGCTCTAAGAATCTCATGTGGCCTGATATGCTCTTAGCTCTACCTCCCAATGCTGGGGTTACAAGTTTATACCACCACACCTTGCTAAAACTACTTCAAAAACAATTTCTATTGCATTTCATGTAGGTTCAGGGGTGGGGAGGCTGACTGTACTGGAGCCCACACGTGGAAGTCTTAGGACACAGTATAAAGATTGATTCTTTCCTTACACCAGGTATGTTGCAAGGACTGCCTCTAGGTCAGCAGGCATGGAGGGATGTGCTTTTACCAGCTGAGCCATCTCACCGGCACAAAGTAGCACTGAAAAGATCTCACTCACAGGGAAAGTCCTGAAGCTAGCACTGAAGCTTAGAGGCAAAATGCTTGTTTAACATGCACAAGACCCTCGGTTCAATCTCTAGCATAAAGCCAGGCCACATTTCCTGTGAAAAAGCTCACCGCTAGCAAGTCCTACAGTCCAAACACTTAAGGACTTGATTGCATTTCCTGTACTCTTTCGACAATGAGGCAGCAAGGAATATCATAAGCCTAAAAAGTGTAATCTCTTCTTTCTCCCTCTCCTCCCCCTCTCCTTTTTCTGCTTCTTCTGAATTTTTGAGACAGGTTCTTGTTATACAGCCAAAGACAGCCTCAGGCTTGAAATCACCCCAGCCTCAGCAACCACATCCTAAGGGCCAGGATTATAGGCTTGTGCCCCATGTCCAAGATAAAGAATGATGCTTGCATTAAAAATTAAGGCAAAAGTTGAGTTGGAAAAAATAACATTTATCTTCTGATTTACTATACTTCCATTAGCTTAAAACAAACAAACAAACAAAAATCTTCATCCATTGGTTAGAAAGTTTAGTCTTATGTAACATTTTGAAATAAGAATAAGAAGTACTAAAAGGTCCCCTGAGGATTTCTGGGTTCTCTGCAGTATGTGCTACAAGATTCTTCAGCTCACCTCCAGATGCCTTTGACCTTTCTTTCAACTTTTCTGCAGCCATTTCACCATAGCTGGGAAGTTCTGACATCTTCACTCCGCATCGAGCTTCTGCTATTAGCTGACGAGCCCTCTCTCTCAGCTGCCGACGTCTCTCTTCATCTTGCTGCTAAGATATATTGAACAGTTGCCAACTCAGTAATTGACAGAAATGCAATTTCATTTTCAATCTGATCATCGTGATAGTAACTGGTTACAGCATGGTGCTTGGCCCACGTTATAAACAGGACGCTCTGCCTCAGCTGGATGTCACACCATTTTAAAGACATCTTAGAATCAGCTCTTTAAAACATTTACAAATCACTGTTAAAATGTCCATCACAAAATTAAATTAAAGGATGTTTGGCAATATATACTATTAAAGAAAAGGCAGAAATTATTAATAAAAGAGGTGACTTAGAGAAGACAGTTTCAATAATCAGGATAGAATTTTAATTAATAATTTATATTTAGGATTGACATTTAACTTGCTAACTTTCTAATGAAGGTACTGAGCAATGTCTAAAAGGCACCTTGATACTATAAAATACAGCTATTTGTCATACACCAAATATAGGAAAGTTACTTTTCCATAGAGGATGAATGAAGACAGTAGATCAGTGAACAGTTTAAACTTAAAAAAATGCCAACAATAACATAATGGTTATATGAAAGTATGTTTTGCTACATCTTCTCCTAGATGCACAATAAGAAAAAAAAAAAAACAATGATAAAGCCTAGTAAAAGTTTTGAATTTAAAATTATTAAAACCTGCAACAAATAGGATAGCTGTTGACTACTTAAAATGTGTTATTAAGAATTGTAAGATGTGGCCCATGACAGTTCAGTCTCCAAGTGGGTAATGGAACAGTAATGGGAACAGGACTGTCTCTGACATGAACTCAGTGGCTTGCTCTTTGATCACTCCCCTCAACCCCCCCAAGCAGGGAGCAGCCTTATCAGGCCACAGAGGAAGACGACGCAGCCACTCCTGATGAGACCTAATAGACTAGGATCAGAAGGAAGGAAAAGAAGACCTCCCCTATCAGTGGACTTGGGAAGGGGCATGCAAGGAGAAGGGGGAGAAAGGGAGGGATGGGAGGGGAGGCGGGAGGGAGCTACAGGAGGGACACGAAGCAAATAAAGTGTAATTAATAAAAAAAAAAAAAAAAAAAAAAAAGAATTGTGAGCAGGGTCTCAGGAGATGGCTCTGTGGTTAAGAGAAAGTCCTAAGCTACTAGGAGGACCTGAAATCTGATCCCAGGCACCCACAAAGCCAGGTGTGGTCTCCCCGAACAACTGAAACCCCAGCACTGTGGGGACACAGACAAAGGAGGATTGTGAGGGCTTGCTAGGTTCAGGTTCCAAGATGGGAGAATGAGAGAAGACACCTTTGCCTTCTCTGGCCTCTATGTGCACATTCAAGACATACAAGACATATGCACACATGAGAGGGAGACAGAGAGAGAGAGCGAGAGAGAACTGCCAACATCAGAAATTGCTTGGTAAACTTGGAAGTTTATAAAATAAGGCAAAACCTACAATAATCTGGCTCCAGTATCTTTGGAAGGCTCTCTTCCCTAACATTTCCTACACTACATAAAACATCTGTCCATACTGAATATTGACCAACTGTTCAACTGAACTGAACATACTATATACACATGTACAATATATACATATATATACACAATATATACACATATGTATACAATATATACTATATATCCACACACAATGTACATGCATAGATATATGTAGCGGTGGCTTTGAACATATCATTTCCTCAACATATATATTATACAATATATAACATGTATACCTGTGGCTTTAAATGTCACTTCCTCAATGTCTATATTGTACTCTATCTATAGATACTGTATGCTGTACTGCAAGCACATAGTACACAGTGCACAGTGCAATATCTAGTCTATGGAGCTAGAGTGCAATGCAGGCGCTGAGGAGGTGACATATGCATGTGTGTGTACTACGTGTCTAGCAGAGCACATCGTGCTATGCACTACGAGTGAGCACACTATATGGTGTATAATGTCATAAATACCCGTAGCTCTGAATACGCCATCTCCACCTCCTGGCCCACGGCTCTATCATTTAACCTCTGTTCATTCTTAAAGGCCCAGCTCAATCTACTAAGCTTGCTCGACATCCCATCTCCTCCACGGTGGAATCAAGTGCTCCCTCCCCTGTCACTGCAGTGTCCTGAACAAGCCAGCCATCAGTGGTATTGACTGCGTCAGCTTCGTAGAGGGTAGAGCCACTGGGAGCTGCACCTCTGGCATTCCCCGGCATGAGTTGAGCTTGGAAGACGGTGCCGTTCTTTCCTGGGAGGTCCTGGACGATGGACGTGAGGAAAGGGGGCTGAGGGGCGTGCATGCGTCCATTGCTCTCCTCTGTCTTAGGCTGTGATGTGACCAGCTCCACTACGTTCCTGTTGTCTGGACTTCCCCACTGTGATGGACTACACTTGATCTGAGGGCTGAAATAAAGCCTTTCTCCTTGAGCTGCTTGTGTCAGAGTATTTTACACAACAGTGTGAAAACCAAAAACAAAGACACAAGAACTAAGACACACATGTAAACATTTTTAAAGCACTACTCCATTATAACTTTTGAAGCAATACTTTTGGCTGGTTGGGGCAGACAAAAGGTATCATAGCTTTTCTGTTGCACCTTCAGAATCCGTGAAATCTGGAATTGACAGAAATTAATGTTGCCTGGTTATGCCAATTGCTGCATGGGAAAATAGGATGTCAAGAACAACACAGAAATAAAGACAAGAAAGCCTACTGAGGGAAAAATATGCCAAAGCAGCAGGAACCACTAAAGGTGGTTTGGTGTGCTGGCATTTTTATGTTGTTTGTTTTTATATTCATATTTTAAGTGTAGGGGAGGAAAAGATTAATCTAGAAACACTGAAATATAGGTTAACACAGAGGAACTTGAAAGACATTAATTAGCAGGCTTATGAAGAAGCCCAACATTCAGGTACAGAAAGTGCTGAAAGGATAGAAAAGTGAAATGCGAGAAACATCTGAGACAGAATCGATTTCTGGTTAGACCAATTTTTGGTTAGACATGCAGACAGAAGGAAAATATGACTCAGAAGTTTAAAACTGAATAGGAACTACAGCTACAGATTTATAATAAAAATAGAAAACTAAAGGAAACCATAAGGAGCAAATGTTTGGGTAAAGAGAGAGTGGGTTTAAAGAGGTGACAGAGTAAGTTTCAGCAGTGAGTTGGGAAGCGAGTCTGATACTTTGGTGTGAGGTAAAGCCAGGGTTACAGTGTTGAAGGATGACTACATGAAAGCCTGAAGAAAAATAAGGACACCACTGACTAATGTAGAAAGAATACTATATTTGAAAGGGGGTGTGGCAGAAGACGAGAACAACAACATAAATGGATCATGAAAATCAAAGTAGAAAAGGCTTTCAAGAAAAAGCAACTCAAGAGCACAGAGGATTTCTGTGAGTTCCAGGACAGCCAGGGCTAAAACAAACAAAAACAACCTATTACAGTGAATGCTGGAAGTTACTCAGAAAATTTAAAAGGGGAAGTCATGTTTGGAAGACAAGGCAGAAACCAGATAGGTGGAACTAAAATCTGGGTACTTTTTTTTTTTTTTTTTTTTTTTTTTTTTTTTTTTGAGGTAGCTTTAAAAGAATCAAGAAATTTAGGCATCATCAAAATTAATACGAGTAGATTAATGGTGTGTTAGGTAGACCTAGGGACACATTCTGAAGTTCTCGGTAGACAAACTGGCACACTTCCAACTATCAAAAAGAACACTACCTATAATGAATTGAATCAATAAAATCACACGTGATAAGTGAAAACTGGAGTTCAATATGATGGTAGAACTTAAAGTATCATAACTCACAAAATCTGTGAGCACAAGACACATAAGGAGACCATAGGTAAACCAGAGATTAGACATCTTCAATCTAGAGATTGGTCTTATCACCATTAACCCTGGGTCAACACATATCATCCGTGTTTTGATATAAAGCATGTGTGTACACACTACTTACAATATTCTGTCCCAAGTATTAATGTGACTCTAATGTGAATCCTTTATAATTTTCATTTTATCCATAACACAAGAGAACAGAGAAACAGAATAAACAACACAGCCAGAAAAGAGCCTACAAACCAACCACCATGACCAGAGAATTACATATTATCTTGGACACGTCAAGGAGAGAGACTGTTCAGTGACTTAGAGAAATGTGAATCTGATCACAACGTTCACAGAGAGGGCTGTGAGAACATTTCACAAGCACACACAGAGAGGGGTAATCTACAACACTGTTACAACAGAGTCCTCTGAGCATGTGGAGGGCTGCCACCACTTGAAGACGCTCCCCGCTGTGTCTGAAGCTTTTGGGAGGTGAAGGCAGGAGGATTTTTAATTTGAGGTGAACCTAGGTTACATGGCAAGACCCTGACTCAAAACAGGAACACCCCAAAGATGGCCTTTTTATTTTAATTTTCTATAATGCAAGCAAAGTACTCATGTAATCAACATTACTTTAACATAACTGGAGCAGAGCGGAGGAGGAGATGAGATGGTAACTTTCTGGGGAAGGATAGTAAAAAGGCAAAAGAGAGGTCTAACATTCCAGGAAAACCTTCTTAGCTTTTGGAAACAAGGTCATTTTTAACGTACAGGATAAGAAAGAAGACATAAAGATAACACACACAGATCTTTCATTAGCAGTCTTTCTGAACTTTGAATATACACTAGCAATAAGTGAAGATGACATTCGATATTTTAATAACAGTTACTGTATTGCCTGAGTTTTCATGTGCTAAGTCCTTTATATTCATTATTTCATTTAATTCTTACACCCCACCCTTTTAAACTAATAACAGGCTTCAAGTCCCAATGCAAGACATCCAATAATAAATTCATGTCCACCTGACTTCACAGCCCTTGTTTTTAACTATTAAATTTTTATCCCCAAAATATCAAGTTAAAAGCAGATATAAAGACTCACATCTATAATCCCAGGATGTGGGAGATGGAAGAGAGTCAGGAATTAAAAGGGAAGCCTTAGTTAATGTAAATTCTAGGCTAGCCTGGGCTACAATGATAAAAAAACCA